CACACACACACACACACACGCACACACACACACACATCAGATTAGGTTAGGTTAGGTTAAGTTAGGTTGGATTAGATTAAGTTGATTCTTGAGAGTCAGGGTGGTTGGACAGGTTGGGTGGATGGCGTTGGGTGGTTCAAGAGTGGGTGGATGGTGAAGTGGGCGGAACAGGAGCAGATAGGTTCGAGGGGGTGTGGGTGTAGAATGTGCTGATAGGTCTTTGGGGCTCTGTGGGCGGGGTAGGAGTGGACAGGTCGGGCGGGCGTTGTGGGCGGTGCGGGAGGGGTAGGAGCGGACAGGTCTGGCGGGCGGCAGCAGTGATGGCTACGGCAGCTCAGTAGTGGTTGAGCCGCCGCGGTCGACGTGGGGCGCAGTGTGGAGTCGCTGCCACTCAGCCCCGCACCCGGCCCCGTGACCTGCTCTGACCTCCCCTCACCCGGGGCCTCGCGTGTAACCCGTGCTCTGAGAAGTCATACCGAGTAATACCCTTCTCTATGGTATCTCAAATGTGATGTAATAATTAAATAATAAACATTTGAATCACCACCAATTAACAGTGAAATGAGACATTGGTAGAGTGATGTTTGCATGGTGTTGTGTTGGTGTACGTGTGTTGACGGTGGCTCCCTCGTGTGTACAATAGTGACGTGGGCTGTGACGGGAGCCACATGCACACTGCCATAGTAGTCCACGTTAAGAATGCGAAGTGAAAACGTAGTGTGGAGCTGAGCGTTATGTAGGCTGGCTGGTGTGGTAGCTGCCAGGTCACACCAGCCTCCACCACCCCCACACTACCACCTTGGGTAATTACACACCGTCAACAGCGGCCTCTGGTGTGTTAAGTCTTCTTATCCATGATGACTTGACTCAGGCAGCTGTACCTGACGGTGTAAGATGTGTGGCAAACAGGTGGGTCATTTTGTGGTGTATCATATGGGGGTCTGTGAGGGTCCAGCGGACGAGAGTAGATGAACCTGCAGTTGAAATTCACACTCGGGGCCTCTTCCCTAAACTGAGGCGACGTTCATATCTCATCAGGTAAAGACGCAAACAGAGCCCCCAAGGCCATGATGCATTCCGAGGTGAGATGCCAGCATTCTCTCTGCCCGCAGCCATGGTACAAGCCCCCGGCAGGAGGCGCTGTGCTAAGTAGTAACCGTTTGAGTATAGTAAATCCTAGGTAGTGGAGTCAGCGCTGGCGGAGAAAGTGACCCGTCCGCCAGGTGGGGCACACAACACTTTGCTAACTTTTCGTTCACTGAACACCTCGGGAAGGAACGAGAGCTTGTTCACCTATTTCAACCTCTTCTTAAACTCTGGAAATATTGCTTTTGATTTTGTCCAGAATATTCTATAAGGCTGCTTTCGTGTAGCGGCCTTTTACTAACACGAAACTAAGGGAGGTGTAAATCATCCCCCCTCCCTCCCTCCCTCCTCCCCCGGGTAAGGTAAGGCAACGGCGGCGGTGTTGTGGTAGCGGGCCTGAGCTGCCAAGTCGAAGGATAAAGTAAGAGTAGAAATGTTCCTCAGATTAGAGCGATTAGGTGAAATGGCTGATTAATGGAGATGGATAATACGGTGGTGTGGTTGGCTGAGTTCCCGCGCGTTTAGTGTTGCTGCAGAATGTGAGGAGATAATGAGTGTGTTTATCGCATTATACCCCGCTCGGTGGATTGAAATAATGTATTTTGCTCTGTGTTTGTGTGACGCGTGTGGGTTTATAATATGTAGGCGCCGGACCGACACACCTCCAGACTGTATACTTCTCTCAGATAAAAATTCTCTTAAATTTACGCAGAGGAACTAGGATGATGGAGGGAGTTCGATGGATATATCATGCTGGGTAATATCGGCTGAACGTTAGGGTCTCATTTTGAAATCTCCGACCATCACCTGTGCCCCAAATACGTGCTGGCAGTGATAAAAGAAACTCAGCCTCTTTCCCCACACCTGTAGGGAGGCTGGGGATTAGATGGGGCGGGGGAGGAGCCAGAGGTGATGGTGACTGTCACAGTGAGAGGGACCCCCCTTAGTAAAGTCGGGGATTACAGTGGGCAGGGAATTCAGATATGATGAGGGTGTGGTAAGTCCCTGAAAGTGATGTTGCTGCAGCCATGTTGAGGAATAGTTGCCTGGGGTGACGCTAGGGTTTATGGGTGAAGGTGGTGAGTGTAGAGGGAGCAGGAGTCCCCCAGGGCGACAATAAGGACTGTAGGATACAGGGTGGGGTAAAACTCTCATTGATGTCATGACAATCTACTTTTGTTTCCTGCTGTACTGTACACCGAAGTGTGTTCCTCTCACCCGCTGCACAACACTCCGCTCCTAGCGCTCTGGAAAGTGAGTTTCGTTAATTTTACGAGTAATTGCAGGAAAAGGTTATTGCCATTGCAGAATCTGCACTTGCGGTTTAAAGTCAATTAAGAAATTATTTGATAATTTTTTTTCTGAGTGAAATATATAAAACACACACACACACACACACACACACACACACACACACACACACACACACACACACAAATGTACATAAATACATTCTTTAAAAATATATATTTTTTAAATTAATCTATATTTCGTGCTGAATATAAAGTGATAACTCTGTATTGTACATACGAGATGAGGAACTGTTGTGTATTGTGTCGCGGGAGTCACACACCACCACCTGGCACCCAACATCCTCAGTCCGTCATTGTCATTCCAGGCCGTGTTAGCCCTCTGCCGCGGCCCCCTCCCACCCACCATGGCTGTCCGGTGCTGAGCATGATAATGTGGCTGTATCCTCACACTGTCCTCGTCTTTGTATGCCCGTGAGACTAATTGACCCTTCATAGTAGTATCTCTTCCAGTACGTTGTGTGACTCTGTAATACCCCGCGTGTGTCTTACCAAGGAATGTGAAGACTTTTAAAGAGGGTCGTATCGCCTGATGGTGCAGTCACGTTCCCAGTGGTCTGCGAGGCGGGTCGACCATAGAAGATCAGCGTTGATGGAAGACTAGTACTTAATATCATACACGACTGATGAGGTGTTGGGGGAGAAGGGGAGAGTGTTGTAACAGGTGATGGAAGACGACCCCTAGGAAGATGCGTGTCTGATCACTGGGTGGAAACCATAAAGATCTGAGGTGTGTTAACTGATGCTTGTAGCTTACCTGCACGGCGCTAGTTAGATGAATGAGAGCAACTCGGGTACAAGGGAGCTGCTTGTCGCTTCATCTCAAGGATCAACTTACGAGTCTGGTGGCAAATTCACAAAGGTTCTTCTCTTTATGTTAATTTGGTCCCCAGACTGTTACTAAGTGAAGATATTCAATTATGGTAGACTCAATGGAATTAAGATGTCATATGTTGAATGTTGTTCTTGTTAGAGATGCAATTTTACGTCTGGAGTTACGAGGAGGATTCATCTTACGAACATTTGAGAATCCTGCGGCTGACTAACTGATGGAATCCGTTTGCAAGAAGATTCGTATAGCGAGTCACAGCCCAATACTCCGAGGATATCATTCACCATCACCGAGAACACCAGAGTGAGAAGGTTGTGTAGAAGGTAGAGTCGATCTGACGGTGAAATACTTTAAGCCTTTAAAAATTAAGACTGGATTCCATACAGGTGAGAGGACGCGGTGCTCAACCCTATACAGGTACAAGTCCTGGTCAGTAAACTAGTTCGTCCTTAACAACCTCAGGCATACAATTAGGCATATTTTCCTATTCTAAATTTCAGTAACTTGTCTATTGTAAAAACCCCAAGACCTGTGCTACGATGCTCAATATCCCAGGTAATTGACACACCTCTATAACCAACTACAACAACAACTCTTTAAAAAATATCTTGGTTCATCATGCTAGTGTCCACCTCACAACCTGTAATAGTCGTTAGCGTACAACGTTATTTCCTCCTCTCAACTACTAATACTAGTTTATTCCCCACTAACCCATTCTCGTCCTATAAGTTTATTACTTGATAGTCTCATCCACATCCACTAAGCTTATTCACTCCTAAAATACCACCAGACTTATGAGACTTTAACGTTACTCATATTATTATAAAGCTTAATTATTCGTCTAATGTACTTTCTGCTGGTATAAGTTTTTCACAGTTCTATTGATAACTCTATTTATTCCTAACCATTCCTACTTATGAACCTTGTATAAGTCTCTACCAATCCCACTTATGTCTAACCTAACCTAACCAAACCAAACCTAACCTAACCTAACCTAACCTACTGTACTTAACTCTCCACATAAGCCACCCCATTGCGGGATTAATTACCTTCCAGTGTATTTTTCCAAACTAATTATCCTCTTAGGTTCAGATTCCCCCCCCCCCCTCCTCCCACCCCCACATAGCGCCGGGGCTAGTTTATTGGACACCCCATTACATCCTCAACACCCTATCTCAACACCGAGCATCATTAGTCTTCTAAAATAGTTCCCAGTTAGTGCATAATAAGACTTCCCTCCTCCCTCCCCCCACTGTAGAAACTGTTACCTTCTCTCTTCTTCCTCCTCCTTCCGTCCGATCGTCCGTTTATTTCTCCCTCCCACCCTCTCTCTCTCTCCGTCCTTCCCCCCTCCCTCCCTCCTTCCGTCTCTACCCGTGTGTCCCTCTGGCCTCAGATAAACTCCATCCGATAAGCATAAAATTTGCATCAACAGCTCCTCCTACATCACGCTGGAGTGTGGTGTGTAAGACCCCAACTGAGATGATGAATCCCGTCGCCTGTGAATAAAAGACCCCCTCCCAATCCCCCATTCCCCAGCACCTGACTACTCCTCTTCCTACTACTACTCCTACTACTACTACTCCTCCTACTACTACTACTCCTCCTCCTCCTCTTCCTACTACTACTACTCCTCCTCCTCTTCCTACTACTACTACTACTACTCCTCTTCTTACTCTTTCTCCTCCTCTTCCTCCGTCGTCGTCGCCTTCTGCCGCGTCGGGTTTTTGCCTCGGTAATTTTTGTCAAGGGTGTTTCAGGAGTCGTTTATCATGGAGCTTATTCCGGGGAGTGGAGAAGGTGAAGATGGTATTGTGTGTGTGAGTGTGTGTGTGTGTGTGTGTGTGTGTGTGATACAGTATTTTCTTGTACTGGGTGAGTCTCTCTCTCTCTCTCTCTCTCTCTCTCTGGAACTCCTTGTTTATGTATCATGACGTTATCTCTCGGTTCAGTTGATCTCCCACAGCGCTGTCAGTCTCTCTCTCCTCAGTCTCCACTCGACAGTCCACAGTCTCACCACGACAGTCCACAGTCTCACACCCACGACAGTCCACAGTCTCACATATCACAGTCTCTCACACTTATCAGTCCACAGTCTCACACTTATGACAGTCCACAGTCTCACACCCGACGTCTCTCCACACTTATGACAGTCCACAGTCTCACACCTGGGCAGTCCACAGTCTCACACACTTACGACAGTCCACAGTCTCACACTTGACAGTCCACAGCCACCTCACACTTACGACAGTCCACAGTCTCACCCACGACAGTCCACAGTCTCACACCCGACAGTCCACAGCCTCACACTTACGACAGTCCACAGCCTCACACTTACGACAGTCCACAGCCTCACACTTACGACAGTCCACAGCCTCACACTTACGACAGTCCACAGTCTCACACTTACGACAGTCCACAGCCTCACACTTACGACAGTCCACAGCCTCACACTTACGACAGTCCACAGCCTCACACTTACGACAGTCCACAGCCTCACACTTACGACAGTCCACAGTCTCACACTTATGACAGTCCACAGTCTCACACTTACGACAGTCCACAGTCTCATACTTACGACAGTCCTGATCTCACACTTACAACGGTCTGATCTCACTTACGACAGTCCACAGTCACACTTATGACAGTCCACAGTCTCATACTTACGACAGTCACAGCCTCACCTTACGACAGTCCACAGTCTCACACTTACGACAGTCCACAGTCTCACACTTACGACAGTCCAGTCTCACACTTATGACAGTCCACAGTCTCATACTTACGACAGTCCACATTCTCCACCCACAGCAGTTCCACAGTCTCACACTTGACAGTCCACAGTCTCCCACTTACGACAGTCCACAGTCTCACACTTACGACAGTCCACAGCCTCACACTTACGACAGTCCACAGCCTCACACTTACGACAGTCCACAGCCTCACACTTACGACAGTCCACAGTCTCACACTTACGACAGTCCACAGCCTCACACTTACGACAGTCCACAGCCTCACACTTACGACAGTCCACAGCCTCACACTTACGACAGTCCACAGCCTCACACTTACGACAGTCCACAGTCTCACACTTATGACAGTCCACAGTCTCACACTTACGACAGTCCACAGTCTCCTACTTACGACAGTCCATAGTTACACTTACGACCATTCTCCGCCATATTCCCACATGCTTTTAGCTCTCGTGTTTTATAACTGATCATTCATTTAGCGCTTTGTACATATTATTCACTCATATTTTACTAACTTATTTAGCATAGTATTGTAGTGTGTATACGTAGTGTATATTTTTATTGTGCGTTATTTAATATTTACTACTCAATGTTATTTTTATTATTAGTTATTATACAAAGTTTATTTTAAGCGTTAATATATTTTTCTTATTTTATTTCTGTATTTTAAGTCTGTATTTTGATGCCTTACAGCAAGTTACAGTATATCTCTTTAATGTGATTTTTTTCTGTAATTAGTATTTTTACGGTAATTTATTTTTCGATAAATTTTTTACTATATTTATTTTTGTTTATTTTTTGTTTTGTTTTTAGTATATCTTGAGTAAATATCCTGGTGGTATATTTATAAAACATCTCTTGTAATTATTAATTGTTTTTTCTTGCTGAATGACCCTTATTAGCACTGACACACATGATAATAATATTTGATAAGGAATAAGAATTATCACCTTTTTAACTATTTTATTTTCGTTATTATTATTATTATTATTATTATTATTATTATTATTATTATTATTATTATTATTATTATTATTATTGCTGTTATTATTATTATTTTTATTATTATTTATTTATTTATTCATAACATCATCGTGCCGTATATGAGTCAATTTGCTACGTTGTATAATACAGGATTTATTGGGCTATTTTAGTTGTATTTATTCGTGTATTTTTAAGGGGGATTTATTCCAGGGTTTGTATGTTATTTATTTATTTGTTGGGATTTTCTTACGCTGGGATTTAGTGGTTGTATTTGTGGGATTTATTAAAGGTGTATTGTATTTATTGATATATTTAGGGATTTATCTCTGGGATTTATTAAAGGCTTATTGTATTTGTATATATTTATGAATTTATTAGCGATCTATTAATGTATTTCTGGGATTTATTAACAGTTCATTGTATTTTTAGGTATTTGTGAATTTATTAACGACCTATTAATATATTTCTGGGATTTATTAGAAATTTATTGTATTTTTTATATATTTATGGATTTATTAACGATCTATCAATGTATTTCTAGGATTTATTAAAGAATATATTAATACATTTCTGGGATTTATTAACGATCTATTAATATATATCTGGGATTTATTTATGTAGGGTGAGATGCCTTTTAACTTTTTGTAGATTTTTATGCGAGAGAAAAAAACGCGAAGGAAAAATTTAGAAAAATAAATAAATAATGGTAGGAAAGATAGCAGCGGTTGTTGAATATTTTTACTGTTGGAAAGTTTTTAAATAAACTGTTGAATAAAAAAAAAATAATTTCAATAAAAGTTTGAACCATAAAAAAAAGTTTGTCACATTAAGTTTATCAAAGTTTAGGATGTTTAAGATTGTTATCGGTATCTGAAAATTATATAAATACAGGTCAAGCTAACTGTATGTGTCTTGCTATCGTGAGAGAGAGAGAGAGAGAGAGAGAGAGAGAGAGAGTACGTGTCAATCCGTCAGTCAGTCAGTCGGCGGATTTTCACACAACTCGATACAAATAATAAATTTTGGCTCGGTGAAGTAATGTTCCAATATGGTCTCCTTCCCTCTGTTTATTATTTAGGAATCTACTTTTTTGTTTTTCACTTAAGCTTTATGTGTACTCAGGTGTGTGTGTGTGTGTGTGTGTGTGTGTGTGTTTTAAATCTCAGGTATGTGTAATATGTAAACACCGGTATTTTTGTTTCTCATAGTGCACAGTAAAACCTCCATATAACGAACTTCTTTATATATAATCCGTTAAATGGGGGATTTCACAACTAACGGACCCTCGATATAACGGATTTTTTCTATATATAGTCCGTTAAATGGAGGTAATCCTGTAGTTACGAAGTATAGATGCAACTGTGGTAATAAGATGGTGGATGGTGACACTACTCCTCGTTAAACTAATGTTGGAGGTGTTATGGCCTGATTTATACTGACTTAAGCAATCATGGCCGCCACAGGTGAGGTGCTTGTATCTGTAAATTGTAATAAGTTATTTTCTCATCATTATTAGTGGTTGATGTTTTGGTATATGATGATAATAATGATAATAGTAATGATGATGATGATGATGTTGATGATAATAATAATGATGATGATAGTAATAATAATAATAATAGTGATGATGATGATAATTATAATGATGATGGTGATATTAATAATGATGATTGAGTAAATACACCATTGTTTATTTTTTTTTAATAATTGGGGAAAAATTCGTCAAAATGAGTATTATTGATTTTTAAATAATAATTATCTTTAAAATATTTTTTATCCTCTTTTTTTATTAGACTGGATTCATATTAATTAGTCAGTAAGTTGTGGTTAAGAATTAGTAATACACATTTTGATTCATTTATTGTGTATTACCATGGCAGAGAGAGAGAGAGAGAGAGAGAGAGAGAGAGAGAGAGGAATATGATGAGGTGAGGGAGAACGCCCAGGCAATTAAAATTTAAATGAGGTCGTTATATGGTATCATTTACGTCACATACAAAATATAGTAATGTCAACAGGTTTTGTACACCTAACCTAACCTAACCCAATAAAATGTTCAGACGCCTATGCTAATCCACGGCTGAACAACAACTGTGCCTGTCACCAGAAAACGTAAATTTAGCCGGGAAAAACGGGAGGTATTCGAGACGACAAACGGTATAATAATATTGGTGGATGTTGCTGGGGAGATGGCGAAGTTATCCCTTAGGAGAAAAAAAATTGTCTTGGTATTTAGAAAACGAGGAGAAGTTACTTATGTGCTGTGTAGATAGGAAATTTTCTCCGTCAGTGAGTGAGTGAGGGAGTGACAATTTACCTCCGTCAGTGAGTGAGTGACAATTTACCTTCCGTGAGTGAGTGAGTGACAATTTACCTCCGTCAGTGAGTGAGTGAGTGACAATTTACCTCCGTCAGTGAGTGAGTGAGTGACAATTTACCTCCGTCAGTGAGTGAGTCAGAGTGAGTGACAATTTACCTCCGTCAGTGAATGAGTGAGTGACAATTTACCTCCCGTCAATGAGTGAGTGAGTGACAATTTACCTCCTTCAGTGAATGAGTGAGTGACAATTTACCTCCGTCAGTGAGTGAGTGACAATTTACCTCCGTCAGTGAGTGAGTGACAATTTACCTCCGTCAGTGAGTGACAATTTACCTCCATCAGTGAATGAGTGACAATTTACCTCCGTCAGTGAATGAGTGACAATTTACCACCGTCACTGAGTGACAATTTACCTCCGTCAGTGAATGAGTGAGTGACAATTTACCTCCGCCAGTGAGTGACAATTTACCTCCTCAGTTAATGAGTGAGTGACAATTTACCCCCGTCAGTGAATGGTGACCATTTACCTTCCGTCAGTAGTGGTGACAATTTGCCTCCGTCAGTGAGTGAGTGACAATTTACCTCCGTCGGTGGTGGTGACAAGTTACCTCCGTCAGTGAATGGTAACAATTTACCTCCGTCGGTGAGTAGTGACAAATTTTCCGTCAGTGAGTGGTAATAATTTACACTCCGTCGGTGAGTGGTAACAATTTACCTCCGTCGGTAGTGGTAACAATTTACCCCCGTCGGTAGTGAGCAATTTACCTCCGTCAGTGAGTGAGTGAGTAACAATTTACCTCCCGTCAGTGAATCAGTGAGTGACAATTTACCTCTGTCAGTGAATGAGTGAGTAACAATTTACCTCCGTCAGTGAGTGAGTGGTAACAATTTACCTCCCGTCGGTGAATAAGTGGTATTAATTTACCTCTGTCAGTGAATGAGTGAGTGATAATTTACCTCCGTCAGTGAGTGAGTGAGTGAGTGACAATTTACCTCCGTCAGTGAGTGAGTGACAATTTACCTCCGTCAGTGAGTGAGTGACAATTTACCTCGGTCAGTGAGCGAGTGACAATTTACCTCCGTCAGTGAGTGAGTGAGTAACAATTTACCTCCGTCAGTGAGTGAGTGAGTAACAATTTACCTCCGTCAGTGAGTGAGTGAGTCATAAATTCACTCCTAGAGCACCTAACGCTCCTTAATGCACTGAGGAAGAGAGATTCTAACGTGGGTGAGCAAATTATGTCTTAAGGGCATGAAAACAGCCTCTCTCTCTCTCTCTCTCTCTCTCTCTCTCTCTCTCTCTCTCTCTCTCTCTCACACACACACACAAGTGCTTAATGCTATGAGAGTTAAAATTAAGCGTTTTAATGGTGGTCCTAAGTTCCCTACAAGAAGTTAAGCCAATTCCTCTGTCTCTGTCTGTCTGTCTGTCTGAACACCTCCCATGAACCTGGGACACAGCAAGTCACTTTTATTCTTTTCAATCTCCCTTCATACTCTCCATACTGTGACAAATGTTCCAGATATCATGGTTCAAGCGAGTTGTATCATGTTTCTATCGAGTTATATCATGTTTCAAACGAGTTATATTTCTTGCGAGTTATATCATGGTTCTAGCGAGTTATATCATGTGTCTTGCGAGTTATATCATGTTTCTAGCGAGTTATATCATGTTTCTAGCGAGTTATAGCATGTTTCTAGCGATCCATATCATGTTTCTAGCGAGTTATATTTCTTGCCAGCTATATCATGGTTCTAGCTAGTTATATCATGTTTCTAGCGATTTATATCATGTTTCTACCGAGTTATATCATGTTTCTAACGAGTTATATCATGTTTATTGCGAGTTATATCTTGTTTCTTGCGAGTTATATCTTGTTTCTAGTGAGTTATATCATGTCGCTAACGAGTTATATCATGTTTCAAACGAGTAATATCATTTTTCTAGCGAGTTATATTTCTTGCGAATTATATCATGGTTCTAGCGAGTTATATTTCTAGCGAGTTATATCATGGTTCTGGCGAGATATATCATGTTTCTAGCGAGTTATATCATGGTTCTGGCGAGATATATCATGTTTCTAGCGAGTTATATCATG